CCCAATCTCCTTGGCTGCGCCAGTGTTATTCGGAGCATTTGACGACAGATCGGCTATCGATGTCCTGTCGACGCTTGTAATGCATCGCCTCGAGTCGCATGATCGCTTTACCGCGGAGAAACGTCCCCGGATGCGTCACGAACAATTCATTCCGATCGAGAAACTGTTTTCGTCTTCCCGGGACGCTTTTCCCACCGCTACCGACAATATATAACACCACCGGTCTTCTGTTCCATATTTCTCCGACACACACACATTACCAAAGTGATAGATAGTCGTCACGGATTGACGCGCCGTTGCACGTCGCTCAGGTGCGACCTGATGAAATGACGTCCTTCCACCCAAACGCCATCAGCTCGATCCGTGACGAGTTAACTTATCGACATGTGCGATTACGCCAGGGCAGATTAATGTCGCAGATGTGGATCGATAGGCACGAATGTTACTGACCTCGTTAATCTACCGTGATTAAAATCCTCTTTCTGAAACATTATTTACATGGATTTCTATATCTCGCTGTAATTCGGACGTTTTATTATGCGACACGAAATATAACTCGTGCGATACGATAATCAGGCTTAGTGCTTTTTTTTTGGTTTTTTTTCTTTTTTTTTTTTTTGAGAAAAATTCAAGCCACAACTATGTCAATTGCTAAAACGATGTCAAAATATTCGAGACCTATTGGAGACATACAGCTGTTAACATAAAATTGAAATCCATATCTGTGTATTAACGATCACTTCTTTTTTTTTTTATGGTAAGAATATTGACGACCAGTTTGGCGTTGCACGTTCCAGAGTGGCGATAATATTACCTATAGATAGAAAGAAATTCTCTTTGTGTTACGAGGTGTTTGAATAATTGCTTTTTATAGGTGCGAGATTTTTATCGAAATAATATATATCTATATATAGAGAGGAAAGAAAACGATTTTTTGTTCAATTCAACTTTCTTTCATGTTTTATTAGATTTTACGTGTCGCATTGAAATGTTACACCGGTACTCGTTCTCGAGAACTGATCATTATTGAATTAAAAATACAATTGTAATTATAATTAAAACTCTTCGTTAAATGCGGAGTTATCATTTACGCGAAGCTATTTTCTTCATTCTCTTCCACAAAGACTTCGCTGCTATTATAAATATTATACTTATTTGATTCGAGATGAATTTAGACTTCTGTTACTGTTTATTTCGTTACGCACGTTCTTTACGTTTCTTATGAAACTTTATAATTAGAAGGACTGTCGCTTATTAAGAAGCGAAAGGAATAACTCTTAATATTATTCGCTGCCATAACGCGCGGCGCTGTTTAATCGTATTTATTCTTCTTCTCTCCAGGAATACTCCGTACAATTAACATTTCGGGAACAATGGTTGGATGAGAGATTACGGTTTAATGACTTCGGAGGTACGTAAAGTTCACAATAGTATTTTATAACTGATTTTCAGTTTGAAATTTCTACGCTTCCGGTATTGATGTTTCGACGCTGATAAAAGTCACGATGCGATAAAACGGGAGTAACAATAATATAACAGGCATACAATGCGTGTACAATGCCGTGTCATATGAATACAAGAATAATAGTTTGAAAGGTGAAATATATATATGTATTCCCTGTAACTGCATAGATTGCAATATGGAAAAAAAAAAAATCAAAAAGTCCGATCAAAGTTCATCCTTCTTTTATTTTCCATAAATGCCAAAGTATCTTCATGCAGAAATATCATGCACAAACGCGATATTTTGCGGTCAAACGTGAAAAGTTCGGACGCACAAAGAGCGTTTATACCTACACTTTTTTTTCGTATCGCAATTATATCGTGCTCTAAAGGGCGAGTCGTAACATTTTATTCGCTCGCGCTGGTCGTTACGCAAATTTAATAGCGGCTATTTTTATCACCCTTTTGCAAATTGCCGCTGATATTCGCGACTTTCTGCCGAATGAACGCTAACGAGCGATACCGTATTCGTTAACGTACGCCTATTTTCCACGGGTGTATCCACTGTTTTTCTCGTTGAACGTTCCAGGTAAACTTAAATATTTAACCCTGACGGAGGCTAGCCGCGTCTGGATGCCAGATTTGTTCTTCTCGAATGAGAAGGAGGGTCACTTCCACAACATCATTATGCCGAACGTATACATACGAATTTTCCCGCATGGCTCGGTTCTTTATAGTATACGGTGAGTACCAGCGTTATGGAATGTAATCAATGTGCGGCGAATGCAGAGTCAGCTTAATCAGCGAGATTGCGCAATTTTTCACGAAGGATTATTGATATCCTTTTTTTCTTCTGTTTTTATCTCACTCTTTCTCTCTCTCTCTCTCCTATGCGAATTTTGTTCGAGGGTGCTTGTACGAAATCCAAATTAAAAACCGTTCAATACGTACCTAGACGGGAATTTATTATTCATTACACTCGCACTTCATCCTCGCGATAATCAAATGTCTCGCAAAACGTTCCCTTCGCTAAAGTACACATCGGAGATCTATGTCTTGTGTATCGTGCCGGATGGCGAAACACAAAGCGCGTAACTGGATTGCGAATTGGATTCTTATTTCCACAGGCATTAAATATAAACCATCCTTATTTTTCTTTCCCTGACGCAGGATATCCTTGACGCTCTCGTGTCCCATGAATTTGAAACTGTATCCCCTGGATCGACAAACTTGTTCACTTCGCATGGCGAGTTGTAAGTAATTTCGACGACTCGGTAAACTTCGTTTTCCCGTCCCATTTAGCTTAGATTAATACTCTCCGCGGGAAATATTTTTTCGTCAAACATTACCGTAGTTAATCATTCGTCCAATAATAACCGTCTTCGTCCGTCCCGATAGACGGATGGACGACGGACGATTTGGTCTTTCTCTGGAAGGAAGGCGACCCCGTTCAAGTGGTTAAGAATTTACACCTACCCAGGTTCACCCTCGAGAAATTCCTCACGGACTACTGCAATAGCAAGACGAACACCGGTAAGTGGAGGACTTGCGTTGAGAAGAAAAAAACATGATGAACTCATATAACGATTCTAACGGTGAAATAAAAAAAAATAAAAAAAACACAGGAGAGTACAGTTGCTTGAAAGTGGACCTGCTCTTCAAGAGAGAATTCAGTTACTATCTCATTCAAATCTACATCCCATGCTGTATGCTCGTTATCGTGTCCTGGGTGTCTTTCTGGCTGGATCAGAGCGCCGTGCCTGCCCGGGTGTCACTAGGTATAAATTATTATCTAGGCGCAAAGCGATGTTATAATTCAGAGTTATAATTTCACGTAACAAGGAAAAAAAAAAAAGATTTGTTAAAGTAATTAAAAACTTCACTCGGATTCAGCGAATTTACAATCGTAACGAATAGCTATTTTTCTATGTTAAATTAGCAAAGTACAGTTGAATAAAATTAGCGATTATAGATAATCGTATTTGTTGCAACAGCACAGAAAATTTACAAGGATATCAATACTGCAAGGATAACTTTCTATGTCGTAGCGGAAGAAGCGGAAGAAAATAGCTTTGCAGTTGTTATGAAATTCTTTAACTTGATTGTTCTCGCTCTTAGTTCTTCACTGGATCTAAATGTACGAGCCAATCGAAATGTATTAAAGAATCGTCCAATACAGTTGCAAAGATTTTTCTGCTGAACGCAGCCATAAATAATCGTAACGAGGAGCGAAACGTGGTCGCCGCGCGACAGAGATTAAAATAAACACTCTAAATGTGTTTAAATTTATACCCAGAAAGAAGAAAAAATCAATATTACTATTAAAAGAATGAATAGAATTGCAGATATTGATTGAACGTGAACGATTGAATTTATTTTTAAATCAGTTTTAACGTCAAATACGAAGAGCTGCAATGTACACATTGAAATGAATTATTTAAAGACTAAATGTAACAATGTAATGATCTTGTAAAGAAAAGAAAGAAAGGAAAATACACTTTTATAGACGCTCGTCTGTATAAGTTTGATTAATGTTTTTACTCGCGTTTATTGAATCATCTTAACACAAGATTAATTGCCAAAAATCTACAAAAGTCTATCGGTCTTCTCCCGTCCAGGCGTTACGACACTGCTGACAATGGCCACACAGACATCGGGGATAAACGCCTCACTGCCACCGGTCTCCTACACGAAGGCTATCGACGTTTGGACAGGAGTGTGCTTGACCTTCGTGTTCGGTGCACTACTTGAATTCGCGCTGGTCAACTACGCGTCGCGTAGCGACATGCACAGCGACAACATAAAGAAGCAGTTTCCACAGAACGAGATGGAACATTCGTCGTCGATTGATCCGTCTTCGGAATTGCTCGAGCCGGATGGATCCGCCAACTTCGCTATGGTTAGTATACCAACAAGGCATGACGTTCCTCGAGCATCTCCATGCACGCGCTCAAGATACTTCCGACATAGCTGCTTTCTTCTCCTCGAGCTTTTCCGGAAACTTTCGTTTTGGTTGACGAGGACGTGAACGTGTTGCGGCAACATCATAGCAACTCTAATTAAACAAGAAAAATCCTATTTCAGTCAAAGCGGATCTTAGTGCTCAAATATTTCTATGTGAATTTATACGTACGTATCTGATTCTGCTCGCTGAAAATCTTTTTCAGTCTTGAAACGCGATCATGAGCAGAACCAGAGTACCGATACTCACTTATTAAATTGACAAGCAAAATTGAATTATTTTTCATGCTAATAAGCATCTTTATAAGAATATTAATAATCTAGACGTTAACGAGAATCGTAAACTGTGAAAAATTCATTGCGAAAAATAAAATTGTCTCAGCCGGGATAGCATTATATTATTTTTTTTTTTTTTATTCGTGAATAAAGAATTGCAATTGAAAAGTCTGAGTATTTGTATGCATCAAAGGAAGAGATCAGGATTTTTCTAGACGCTTCTTCTAGATGAGAATGAGATTCTTTAATGCAGCAAAAAGAAGAGGGTCGAGATTCTTTCGATTAGAATCGAAATAGTTTGAATTAAGGAGCCCAGAGTACGAGAAATTAATGGTTCAATACCACCCGAATTCTTTCAGAAGCCTCTGGTCCGACACCCGGAGGATTCCATGTCGATGGATAAATTGCAGCAGTGCGAAATACATATGCAACCACGGAAAAAAAACTGCTGCAGGTCGTGGCTGTCCAAGTTCCCGACGAGGTCCAAGCGCATCGACGTCATTTCACGGATCTTCTTCCCAATCGTATTCGCTTTCTTCAACCTCGCGTATTGGTCCACGTACCTGTTTCGGGAGGACGAGGGGCAAGAATAAATCTCGAGGGGAAGGCGCTCGGATCAACAAGGGAAGTGGCTCGCGGCCATCCTCAGCAACAACAGTACCAACAGACACGACCGCCGCAACAACGTTCACGTCCTCGTCAACGACAACTGTATCATCAGCCTCATAATCGCCATCATCATCATCATCATCATCATCATCATCCACCTCAGAATCACCATCATCACGATCCTCCCCGTCATCACAGTCATTTTTATATACAGCAACAGCAGACTCACGGCAGCAATCCGTCGATGACACAACATCATTCGCTGCCGCGTACGTATCAGCAGGACCATCATCATCAGCAGCAGCAGCAGCAGCATCACCACCATCATCAGTTACATCGTCATCAGCGTTATCATCCGAATCGTTCGCCGTCGCCGACTTTCTCGCTGCTGAACGACGAAGACTGCGTCGCCGGCCGATGCTCGCCGATGAAAGCACAGCGACATCACTCGCATAGGAGCTCGACGAGGTCGTCACCGTCGCGATGGCCTTCGCCGGCGTCCTCGGCGTCGCCTCTGGATACGCCGTTGCGTGCCGCAACGCCTTCGCCGCCGATCGCGGTACCGATTTCGTCCACGACACCGCTGCCGATGTCGGCTACGGTGACGTCGAAAACACGCTACTGGCTGAGGAAATTGCTTTTATGTGGATATCCGGATGATGCCCGAGGCAGCGCGAGAATCGACTACATTGCGCGCTATGCCTTCCCATTCATGTTCATTCTCTTCAACGTCTTGTACTGGTGTATTTATACGGGTCACGAAGGCGACAACATCAATATAGAAAAGTGAAGAAGGATAGCGTATACAAAATTATGTATACGATACCAAGCCGAGTGCGATCCGTCAAGTTGGATAAATCCTTGAAGAAACAAGCCGAGGCAAACTTTTTACGAGCTCCGATTATAAGATACATTAAATATCAACGATATTTTGCAAATCAGAACTACGTTTGCTTGACAAGGACCGACCGGAGGCACCTCGACGTGGAGATCAATCTTCACTGTTCGCGCCTGAAACGGAAATATTCCAGGACGAGGATCACTCTAAGGCAACGAGGATGTTAGCGACGTTTCAGTACACATCTCGCGACGGTCGAAATGATGAGAACGATGAAATGTAACATCTTAATTGCGTATTATATCTCACACACACACACA